TAACACATTGAAAGGGCAAAGGAGTAGAACTGAATCAATGGAAGACAGAATTAATGAAATTGAAGACATATACTTCAATACTTCCTTTGAAAGGGATCAATCAGAGAAAAGATCAAAACAAAATTAAGAAAGCCTAAGGTTCATGTGGGATACCATCAAAAGGAACAACCACCCTGTGATTGGAATTCTGGAACAGGAAGAGAAAAAGAAAATCATTGAGAAAATTGTCAAAGATTTGTTGGAATAGAATTTCCCTGATATGATGAAAAATGAGAATATATCCATTCAGGAAGTCCAATGAACCCCAAACAGGAAAGACCCCAAAAGAAAACCACCAAGACATATCATCATCAAACTCACCAAAACTAAAGACAAAGAAAGAATCCTGAAAGCAGTGCAGGAAAAATTAAAAGATACCTACAAAGGACAACCAATAAGAACAAGCTCTGATTTCTCAGCAAAAACCATGCAAATTAGAAGGCAATGGGATAGTATACATAAAACCCAGGAAGAGAAATTTTTCCAACCAAAAATTATATACCCAGCAAAATTGTGCCTCAAATATGATGGTGAAATTAGATTTCAGGATAAGCAGAAATTATTTGTCAAAATTTGTCAAAACCAGACCAATCTTATAAGAGATAGCAAAGGGAATCCTTTGAACAGAGAACCAATAATAGCAAACAACAACTGACCATTAATGTACAAGATGACATTACCAAGAAACCAACACAGCTATGGAAGTATCCAAAGTTAAATAAGTTTGAAAGATTGTAAACAAAGAACCAGAGACATCAACTGGCAAATGAAGACAATTACAAACCAAAAAGAGGGAAAAAATAGTGTAGTTACAGAACTTCTAAATGGTGAGGAGGTCAAGAGAGGTGCAAGATAGAATGAACTGTTCTAAACTTGGGGAGAAAAGTATAAATCACAGGGTAACCTCAAAGACAAATGATAAACCTTCATATCACAATAAAAAGGAAGACAAGCAAAGTATTTAGCAAACACTAAAACAACAGCAACAAAGGAAATGATACCATGTTCACAAACATAATGAGCTCAGCACAGAAAATTATATGGAACAAAGAAACCAGGAACACCATGAAAAACACAGCAAAATGA